CACACACACACACACACACACACACACACACACACACACACACACACTCTTGATCCATACACACACACACACACTCTCTCTCGATCCATTCATCTACTGAGGGGCATCTGGGTTGGTTCCATATGGCTTACTTCACTTAATATAATATTTTTCCAAGTCTTTCTGTTTCCTAACAAATAAGGTAGTGTCATTTTTTCTGATGGAGGCGTAGAATTCACACTCACATACACATACACACACACACACACACACACACACACACCACATTTTCTTGATCCATTCATCTACTGAGGGGCATCTGGGTTGGTTCCATATCTTAGCTATGGTGAATAATTCTGTGATAAACATAGTGTGCTGGTAGCTTTAGTATGGCTTTGTTTGTGATCGTTTGGGTAGATGCCCCAAAGTGGGATTGCTGGGTTATAGGAGAGCACTGTGTAGTAGTCTTTTGGGGGAACCTCCATACTGCTTTCCGAAGTGGTTGAACAAGTTTACACTTCCACCAACAATGCAGTAGGGTTCCCTTTTCCTAGCCTCAAACTCTTGATTTTTCTGCTTCAACCTGCAGTGCTGGGATTACAGGCATGTGCAATCATATTCAATTTTCTATCCATTTTCAAGGATCCATTTGAAATAATAAATCTTTTTATCAAAACCGATTACATTCAGTCCAGAAGGAAACTGCTGCTTTTTTTGACATTTAAAGAATTAATTTGCTTTATTTTATTATAGAGATAATTACAGAGAGATTACAATTAAATGAGTCAGGTAATGAGTATATTTCCTTTGGTACAGTCTTCTTTTCCCTCATTCTCTCCTCATCCCTCCATCCCATCTCAACCCATGAGTTGTAGTTTTTCATCAGTGTCCAGTGAGCTCCACTGCTGTATTTTTCACCCTTTTTCTCTGAAGTTCTGTACTTTCTCTCTAACCCTTCTGAAGATGGACACTTGAATATACCATGCAGAAAGTGAAGAAGACAGAAACTGCTTTTGAGTTTTTTCCTGTAATGCAATGAAACTATTTTTGTTTCTCTTCATTTGTTAGTTGTCAATTTGTCAGTTGTCAGGCTTGAATTCAGCAATTGGGTATTGTCTTTGGGCTCTTTTTGCTCAAGGCTATTGCTCTACCACTTTGAGTCACAGCTCCATTTCTGGTTTTCTGGTAGTTAATTGGATGAAAGTCCCATGGAAGGGCTGGGAAGGTGGCTCAGTGGTAGAGCGCTTGCCTTGCATGCTTGAGGCCCTGGGTTCAATTCCTCAGCACCACATAAGCAGAAAAAAAAGTCCCATGGACTTTTCTGCCTGGGCTGGCTTTGAATCGTGATTCTCAAATCTCAACCTCCTGTGTAGCTAGGATTACAGGCATGTGAGCCACCAGTACCTGGCCTTTTTTATGGTTCTTAACCACATTCCTCATCTATATTAATATAATTAATTTGTAAATTTAACATCATTAAAGTGAACTAGAATTAATCTTAGGGAGTACTTTGTGTTTTTCCTTTGTAGATTCCATGTAATGGAAAAGCAGCTGATCGCATCCATCAGGATGGAATTCATATCCTTGTAAATATGAATGGGTATACCAAGGGTGCACGAAATGAACTCTTTGCTCTCAGACCAGCTCCTATTCAGGTAAGAGGACTGATAGCAATCATTCACCATGCTTATCAGACTCAAAAGACAGTGATGTGGGTTTTTTTTCATCCTCTGTCTGACCTTTGAAAGAAAGGCAGAATGCTTGAGTTTTCAGAAGTTAATATTTTTGGGCTGGGAAGATGGTTCAGTGGTAGAGTGCTTGCCTTGAACACATGAGGACCTGGATTTAATTCCTTAGTACCACATAAACAGAAAAAGCTGAAAGTGGCGCTGTGGCTCAAGTGGTAGAGTGCTAGCCTTGAGCTGAAGAGCTGAGGGACAGTGCCCAGGCCCAGATTTTAGGACCTGACCGACCAAAAAAAAAAAGTTAATATTTTTGAAATGCACAAGGATAGAATATTTAGTAAAGAACAGTATTAACCACTATTTGTAAGTGGAAACATGGTTGGATAAATAATTGCTCTGACTTGAAATTTAAAACCTTTTTTGTTGTTGGTTGGTTGTGGGTGGGGCTTGAACTCAAGGCTTTAAAAGCCATTTTTGCACTGACAAGCTTAGTCTAAAATCCTACTTGATTGCTCTGGGCTCAAGAACTCAACCTTGTTTATTTACACACACACACACACACACACACACACACGATTTTAGAACTTTTATTTTATTGCCAGTCCTGGGGCTTGAATTCAAGGCCTGAGCACTCTCTGAGCAACTTTTGCTCAAGGTGAGGGCTCTACCACTTGAGCCACAGTGCCACTTCTGGCTTTTTCTGGAACCCAGGGCTTTATGCATGCTAGGCAAGCACTCTACCACTGAGCCACATTCCTAGCCAATTTTAGAACCTTTTTTTAAATACTTTTTTTTATTTTAAAAATACTGTACAGAGGGGTTACAGTTACATGAGCAAGGTAATGAGTATATTTCCTATTAAGCATTGTTACCTCCTCCTTTGTTTTTCCCCTACCATCCCTAATTGATGAAAGCTCTTAAAAGACAGTATCTGAGGAATATTTGACACACAAAAATCTGTACTTATTTAATGTGTACTAATTGGTGAATTTAAAGATAAGGATGCCAGTGAAGAATTTTTCATTGTTAGTTATACAAAGAAGTTTCAATTCCATTATGAGAACAATGTATCTTGATCAGTGTACCCCTTCCATCATTCTTTCCCCTTCTACACCTCCATCCTTACCTTTAATTATGAAGGCTTTAGTCTTGATTTCTTTCTTTCTTTCTTTTTTTTTTTTTAAAGGCAATGTGGCTTGGCTATCCTGGTACTAGTGGTGCACTTTTCATGGATTATATCATCACAGATCAGGAAACCTCACCAGCGGAAGTTGCTGAGCAATATTCTGAGAAACTGGCTTATATGCCTCATACTTTCTTTATTGGTGATCATGCTAATATGTTCCCTCATCTGAAGGTTGGTAGAAAACACTACTGGAGGATTTCAAAGTATTCTAGTCATTTGCGGGCTTGTTATTTTTCTAAAATGCATGTCTGCAATTTTTTCCATTAGAAAAAAGCAGTCATCGATTTTAAGTCCAATGGGCACATTTATGACAATCGGATTGTTCTGAATGGCATTGACCTCAAAGCATTTCTTGATAGTCTACCAGATGTGAAAATTGTCAAGGTCAGAATTTAGTTAATTTGTCATTGAAATGAACTTAAATTCATTTGGCGTCTTTCCCTACTTATACATTTTATATCTATTGTTTTTAGATGAAAGCTTGTGATGGAGGAGACAATGCAGACAGCAGCAACTCAGCTCTTAATATGCCTGTCATTCCCATGAATACTATTGCTGAAGCAGTAATTGAAATGATTAACAGAGGGCAGATCCAGATTACAATTAATGGGTTCAGTATTAGCAATGGACTGGCAACTACACAGGTGAGACGATTACATATAACCAAGTATGCAGTTATTTCCTTTAAACTTCATAATAATAAACATCATTACTACTGTTTTACATGTGAGAAAGTAAGTTCAGTGGAAACTGGAAGTAGATTTTGCTTAAAAAGTCCCCAGTATTTAGCTAGTTTACTTATTGTGAGTCTATTGTGTTAATACCTTGTTTTTCCCCTGTCTGTGGCTTTACCCTCTTATGACAGGCCATATGTTGACATCATATATCTCGTTGCTTCTGTAAAGCCATTTTTTTCCTGTGGTGAAAATTCTACTCAAGACTTAATTTCCACTAGGAATCTCTTCCTGTATTATTATTATTAGGGTCCAGTCGTGGGGCTTGAACTCTGGGCCTGGGCACTGTCCTTCAGCTCTTCAACTCAAGGCTAGCGCTCTACCACTTGAGCCAAAGCACCACTTCCGGCTTTTTTCTTTTTGCTAAGGAGTCGAATCCACGGCCTCATATATGCAAGGCAAGCGCTCTACCACTGAGCCACCTTCCCAGCCCCTCCTGTATTATTTTCTAGCCTATCTATCTCTATTACAGTTGATATGTGGCTTCTATTCTTCTGTAGCATTTGGGGTTTGTCATTACATTCAGTATAATTGCACTATAATTCCCTGTATTTATGTCCTCTAATGAATGGAATTACTTTAGGACCCATGTTTAACTAAACATAGCAATGGAACATGCACTCAGTGATCATATATTGTCTATGTGAATAAGCAACAAATACATTGGTCTGTCAAGAGAGTATAAAGGCAAGGATACCAGACATGTTCACAATTAACAATTTTTTTGGAATGTCCATACTCAACAATGTAAGACAGCATTCAAATATGGGGGTTTTGAAGCAAAGACTAGTTTTGCATGTACTAGCTACAAAATGGTGATAAACTTGAGGAGACAGACTTGGGACAAGAGAGCATTTGGAGGAATAATTGCACTTTTAGTTGGATGTAATTTAGAAATGAGTATTTCATTGAAGTAAAGAATAAGCAAATTCGGGCTGGGAAGGAGGCTCATTGGTAGAGTGAGTGCTTGCCTTGCATGCATGAAGCCCTGGGTTCGATTCCTCAGCACCACGTAAGCAGAAAAAGCTGGAAGTAGTGCTGTGGGTCAAGTGAGTGATACAGTGCTCACCTTGAGTTGAAGAGCTCAGGGACAGCACATAGGCCCAGAGTTCAGGCCCCATGACCGACCAAAAAAAAAAAAAAAGGTAAGCAAATTCTTGCTGTTGGTTTAGTAGGGTTTTGTGAGTTTCCTTTGTTAATTTTTCTAAATTTGTGATAGTAGAGTGTAAACTCAGGGCCTTGAACTTGTTTGGCTTGCTTGATTATTCATGGTGACTGCTCTACCACTTAAGCTATATCTTCAGCCCTGCTTTGTGCTAGTTATTTTGGAGATTGAGTCAGTGTACTATAGTGCCTGGCTTGGCTTTGAACCACGATCTTCTGGATCTCAGCTTCTTGAACAGTTAGGATTATACATGTAAGCCATGAGCACCCAGCTTAATTTTTGTGTGTGCTGTTTTTGGGGTTTGAACTCATGTCCTGAGTGGTGTCCCTGAGCTTCTCCCCCCTCCACCCTTTAGTGCCAGTCCTGGGTCTTGAACTCAAGGACGGGGAGCTGTCCCTGAGCTTATTTGGCTCAAGGCTTGCGCTCTACCACTTGAGAACCACAGCTCCACTACAGGCTTTTTGGTGGCTTATTGGCGATAGGAATCTCAAAGACTTAACTGCCTGGGCTGGCTTCAAACTGTGATCCTTGGATCTCAGCTACCTGAATAGCTAGGATTACAGGTTTGAGCCACCAGTACCTAATCAGGTTTGTTTCTTGGAGTCAGGATCTTACTATGTAGACCAGGAAGGCCTTGAGCTTGTCTTCCTACTCTGTTTTATTGTTGTTCGTTGTGGGCCTTGAACTCAGGGCTTGAGTGCTATCCCTAGTGCTCCACTCTGATTACTTAAAAAAGTTTTTATTGACTCGTATTGTGTAGGTGTTAGGGCTTCCTTCCTTCCTTCTTTTCTCCTTCCCTTCCTTTCTCCTTCCTTCCTTCCTTCCTTCCTTCCTTTTTTTCTTTTTTTTTGGGGGGGGGGCTGGTCCTGGGGCTTGAACTCAGGGCCTGGGCACTGTCCTCCTTGCTTCTTTGGTTCAAAGTTACTGCTTTACCACTTGAGCCACAGCCCCACTTCTGGTTTTCTGGTGGTTAATTGGAGATAAGAGTCTCAAGGGGGTTGGGAAGGTGGCTCAGTGGTAGAGCGCTTGCCTTGCATGCCTGAGGCCCTGGGTTTGATTCCTCAGCACCACATAAGCAAAAAGAAAAAAGCCGGAAGTGGTGCTGTGGCTCAAGTGGTAGAGCGCTAGCCTTGAACTGAAGAGCTGAGGGACAGCGCCCAGACCCAGAGTTCAGCCCCATGACCGGACCCCAAAAAAAAAAAAAAAGAGTCTCAAGGAAGTAGCGCTGTGGCTCAAGTGGTAGCGTGCTTGCCTTGAGCTGAAGAGCTGAGGGACAGTGCTCAGGCCCAGAGTTCAAGCCCCATGACCAACCAAAAAAAAGTTTTTTTCCAGCTGGGTGCCCAGTGGCTCACGCCTATAATCCTAGCTACTCAGGAGGCTGTGATCTGAGGTTCAAAGCCAGCCGGGGCAGGAAACTCCTGTGAGACTCTTATCTCCAATAAACCACTAGAAAACTGGAAGTGACGTTGTGGCTCAAGTGGTAGAGCGCTAGCCTTGAGCTGAAGAGCTGAGGGACAGCACCCAGGCCCAGAGTTCAGGCCCCACGACTGGACCCCCCCCCCCAAAAAAAAATATCAGGCTGGGCCCAGTGCTGGTTGTTTATATTTATAATCTTACTACCCAGGAGGCTGGGATCTGAGGATCGTGGTTCAAAGCTAGCCCGAGCAGGAAGTCCATGAGACTCTTATCCCCAAAAAGAGAACAAAAGACCAAAAAATTTATGCTGATATTTGAAATCAAAGCCTTGACTCACAACAGCAACGACACAAAAAACCCCAAACAGAACAAAAAGCCAAAAAACTCAGGCTGAACTTTGTATTTTACATGTATAATCCCAGCTCTTAGAAGGCTGAGAGAGAATTATGAGTTTGAGGATAGACTAAGCTATACTGTGAGGTGCTCTCTCAAAAATTACATATATCATGTATGTATACACATTTGCACACACACATGTAATAAGCATAAGTATTTATATGTGTATATACTAGAATTGTGATGCTATGAATTCATTCCCTAGTGCTGGGGAAAAAAGACTATATCAGACTGTCTTGATACTATATCAGAGTTACACTCCAGCCCTTACTCTATCTTTAAATATAATCATATTCTTTTCCTTGTTTTAGATCAACAATAAGGCTGCAACTGGGGAAGAGGTTCCTCGTACCATTATTGTAACCACCCGTTCTCAGTATGGGTTACCAGAAGATGCTATAGTGTACTGTAACTTTAATCAGTTGTATAAAATTGACCCTTCTACATTGCAGATGTGGGCAAATGTGAGTATGTGTAAACTCATTTTTAATTTTCTCTGAGATTTACTTTTTTTGTTATAAAGTTGATGTACAGAGGGGTTACAGTTACCTACGTAAGATAGTGAGTACATTTCTTTTTTTTCAGAAGAGCTATTTTTTAGTTTTTTAAATTGTTATAAAGATTATGTAGAGAGGGTTTACAGTTATATAAGTCAAGTAAATAGTACATTTCTTTTTTTGGATAGTGTCACCCCTTCCCTCACTCTCTCCAAGTTTTTCCCTCCCATCCCCACCCATAAGTGTATAGTTCATTTTCAACATAGTGTCTAGTGAGTACCACTGCTAAACTCATTATTAACAGCTGGTTGCTAATAAAAAATTATACCTTGCTGAAGGAGCTTTTTTTTTCCTTCAGTGCTTCGGATTGAACCCAGGTTCTTGTGCATGCCAGGCAAGTACTCTACCACTGAGCTATACCCCCAGCTCTTTCCTTCCAATATTTAATTTTCACATTAAGCAATTAAAAAAATACCAATATATGGGCTTGAATATAAGGTCTCTCTTGCTCACACAATTTTTTTTCCCTCAAGGTCAGTACTCAGTCTACAACTTGAGCCACAGCTCCACCTCTGGCTTTTTACTGGTTAGTTAGAGATAAGAATCTCATGTCCTTTTCTGCCCTGGCTGGCCTTGAGCCTTAATCCTCAGATCTCAGCTTCCTGAGTAGCTAAAATTACAGATGTGAATTGATTGGCTCCCTGCTTTAAAAAAAATTTTTTTTTTTGGTGGCAATAGGGTTTGAACACAGGTCCTCAGGCATACTTGGCAACTGTTCTACCACTAAACTACATCCCTACTCTCAGGAAATACAGATATTTTATTGAAAATACAGCACAGTAATTCAATTTATGATGATTTCTATAACACTTGTGTGAAAATATTTCTTTTGAAACTTATTTTTTGGTTGCTTGGTTTTTGGATTTCTTTGTTCATTTGTTTGAAACAGGTTCTCATTATGTATCCCAGGCTGGTCTGGAACTTGAGATTTAACTGTCTCAGTCTCCTAGGCACTGGAAGTACAGGCATGTTTCCACTATGCCTGGCTAGCAACTGTTAAATATTTTTATTTAAATATCACAAATTATATATCTGATAGCTCCTATGAATTCATCAGTATAGCAGAATGTCTCTACCATGATATCTAGTGATCTTGCTTGTGTGCACAGGGGCCAAGGTAGCAAAGGTTTAAGGCACAGCCCATCTGAATGTTGAATGTGGCATCAGCCTCCTACAACCTGAGAGGATGGGGAAGAAAGGCTGTGAGGAATGGCTCTGAGACTATCTCCCACTTACCTTCCTGTCTCCTCTGGGAGGCTGTCATGGTTCTGAGGAATCTTAAGCTTTCTGCCTGCCCTCTCTCTTTGGAAGATAGCTATAGAATATAAAGTATCTCCTTGAAGTGTATGTGTATATGTATGTATGTGTATATGTGTGTATGTCTGTCTATATGTGTTGAACAAGGACCACTGCTAGTAGCTTTAGGTACTCTTATTGCCCATGTAGGTAATAAACTGAAGGACTCTACAAGGGGCATGTTGTCTCATTCCCAGTAGAATGGCTCCTATAAAAGAATACAAGCCAGCAGCTAGTGGCTCATTCTTGTAATCTTAGCTACACAGGAGGCTTAAGATTTGAGAATTGGAATTTGAAACCAGGTCAAACAGGAAAGTCTGAGAGCCTCTTCATTCATCCACCAAAAAACCAGAAATGGAGCTGTGGTTCAACTGGTAGAACTTTAGCCTTGGCCAAGAAAAGCTCAGGCATCTTGCTTTTTAAGCAGCTTTTTTCTGTCTGAAGCAAGTATTCCAAAACCAGAGGTCTGCAAACTTTTTGTTGAGGGACTACATGACAAATATTTCCACGTTTTGTGATCAATTTTCTTTTGCGTTGTAGGACAGAAACTTCCCTATACATTGTGTAAATGAGTAGTGTATGTAGCTCTGTGTCAATAAAGTGTTTATAAAAACTGGGCCAGATGCTATGACTCATGCTTGTAATCTTTACTTGTGAGTCAAAGATTAGGAGTAGTATTTTGAGGCCAGCCTAGGCCTCAAAGTTTACAAGCCTCAATTTCTGGCCTGGTGATAACATGCCTGCTATTTAGCTTTTTAAAAAGGCCAAATAGTCTGGCTTGGGCATAAATCTGAGACAGTTAAAAAACTAAAGCTGGTGGTGTGTGACTCAAGTAGTAGAAGTCCTGAGTTTAACCACAGTAGTGCAAACCATACATATATACAAACAAAAAGCCTAAACACTGGCAGCTTGTTGTTTTTGTTTTGGTTCTAATGGTACTGGGGCTTGAATTTAGGGCCTGGATGCTGTTCCTTAGCCTTTTTTTTTTTCCTTTTCCTCCTCAAAGCCACCATTCTACCACTTAGGCCAAAGCTCCAATTCTGGCTTTTTGCTGGTAGATTGGAGATTCAGAGAGTCAAGGACTTTCCTGCCCAGGCTAGACTTGAGCCATAATCCCTAGATCTTGTCTCCTGAGTAGGTATGATTATAGGTATGAGCTACCAGTGCCCAGCATTGCTAGATTTGACTCATGGGTTGTAGTTTGAGAACCTGTAGTCAAAACTGAGCAAAAGTTGATTATTTCTACCCATGTATGACATCTTGGACTATTGTAGAGTTAAAAACAGGAAAGAGCCATTTTAAGCCATCCCCTTTTAGTCAGTTCACCAGATCAGTCTTCCTAAGTTGGATATTGGCTAACCCTAAGTAACTGGCTCCCTAAAAATAAATTGTTATATTTTGCCTTTAGGTAATTGATAGATAAAATTCTTTTTTTTTTTTTTTTTTGGGTCCGGTCATGGGGCCTGAACTCTGGCGCTGTCCCTCAGCTCTTCAGCTCAAGGCTAGCGCTCTACCACTTGAGCCACAGTACTACTTCCGGCTTTTTTCTTTTTGCTTATGTGATGCTGAGGAATTGAACCCAGGGCCTCATGCATGCAAGGCAAGTGCTCTACCACTGAGCCACCTTCCCAGCCCCGATAGATAAAATTCTTTAGCCAGGCTCCAGTGGCTCATGTCTATAATCCTAGCTACTTAGAAGGCTGAGATCTGAGGATCAAGCTTTGAAGGTAGCCTGGGCAAGAATGTCAAAAAGGCTGGAAGTGGAGCTGTTGTTCAAGTGAAAAAAAGCTTAGGGACAGCACCCAGGACTTGATTTCAAGCCCCTGGACCAGCACCAAAAAAAAAAAATAAAAAATCCTTTGGCTCAGTGTTTTTTTTGTTTTGTTTTGTTTTTGGGTCTGGTCGTGGGGCCTGAACTCTGGGCCTGGGCGCTGTCCCTCAGCTCTTCAGCTCAAGGCTAGCGCTCTACCACTTGAGCCACAACGTCACTTCCAGTTTTCTAGTGGTTTATTGGAGATAAGAGTCTCACAGGAGTTTCCTGCCCCGGCTGGCTTTGAACCTCAGATCACAGCCTCCTGAGTAGCTAGGATTATAGGCGTGAGCCACTGGGCACCCAGCTGGAAAAAAACTTTTTTTTGGTTGGTCATGGGGCTTGAACTCTGGGCCTGAGCACTGTCCCTCAGCTCTTCAGCTCAAGGCAAGCACGCTACCACTTGAGCCACAGCGCTACTTCCTTGAGACTCTTTTTTTTTTTTTTTGGGGTCCGGTCATGGGGCTGAACTCTGGGTCTGGGCGCTGTCCCTCAGCTCTTCAGTTCAAGGCTAGCGCTCTACCACTTGAGCCACAGTACTACTTCCGGCTTTTTTCTTTTTGCTTATGTGGTGCTGAGGAATCGAACCCAGGGTCTTGAGCATGCAAGGCAAGCGCTCTACCACTGAGCCACCTTCCCATCCCAGTGTTTTTTTTTTAATCCTGATTTTTTTGTTCGTATGTATACTTGAATGAATTTATTCCCTAATGTTTTTGTTTGTTTGCTTGAATGAAGAGAGTAGGACAGAGGAGGAAAGGAAACATGCTCATCTAAGATTCCCTAATCCCTACTATCTGAAAAAAAAATTGAAAGCCACAAACTTGATTAATTGTTTTTTGTCGTGGGGCTTGAACTCTGGGCTTGGGCACTATCCCTCAGCTTTTCAGCTCAAGGCGAGTGCTCTACCACTTGAGCCACAGCACCACTTCTGGTTTTCCAGTAGTTTATTGGAGGTAAGAGTCTCAACGGACTTTTCTGCCCTGGCAGGCGCTGAACAGTAATCCTCAAATCTCAGCCTCCAAGTACCTAGGATTACAGTCCTGAGCCACCGGTGCCCAGCTACAAACTTGTATTTTTGTGACAAAATTATTTGGCTGCAAAACTGAATTGCATTTGAGTATTTTTAGTTTTTTTGTTTAATTCCATTTATTTTTCATGCTTATTTTTCAAGTCCCTGACTTGAACTCAGGGACTGGACACTCTCCCTTTTTAAATTAACACTGGTGCTCTTCCATTTGAGCCACAGCTCCACTTTCAGGGTTATTATGGTAGTTAATTGGAGCTAAGAGTCTCTGAGACTTCTTGCCCATGCTGGCTTTGAACCTAGATCTTCAGATATTACCCTAGATTATAGACACGAGCTACATATGCCCAGCTTATAATTTATTATTAATATGCCTACTGCTCAGTGCAAAGAGTTGCTACTAAGGGTACTTTTTTGTGAAATTTTGTGGTACATTGAGTATATGTAGATCTAAGTCAAGAGTTTGCAAACTATGGCTAGTAGGCCTAATCTAGCACTCTTCTGTTTTTGTTTTTGGTGCTCGAGACTTACTTTGTGTATTAGTCAAATATTCTATCAGTAAAATACACCTACAGCTATGCTCTTGCTGTAATAAAAAACTTGATTAATATATAGCTATACCTATCTGTTTGCATATTGTCTGTGAGTACTTTCTAGGTATAAAAGAATCAAGCAGTTAATGGTAGTCTACTTAGCCACAAAGCCAAAAATACCTACTTAAGAAGTCTTTCTTACTTAAAACTTACTGTCTTTATCAATTCCCACAGAATATAGTTACCTCAAGTTGTGCCTGTGAGTAACTTTTGTGTCTTAAATTCCTAGAAGGAGAGACTTAGACTGACACTTCGCGTATTTCTGTATCTAAAGAATAGAGTACAGTGATCACTCACCTATTTATGGGAGTGTTTCAGAAATCCTTGCGATAGGTGAAAATCCATGAGGTAGCAGCATTGTACAGTTGTTCCTTGCCATATTGCAGTTCACTAATTATACTTTGTGGATTTTCACTATCACAGGGGGCTCTGGACTTTTAACTCTCCAGATAGATGAGGGATCACTATTTATGTATTTAAAAAACTACAACTGTGATTCAGTGAAACCACAATTTGCAATCCACAATAAAGTGAGTGATGACTATATGGTAGTATAATTGGAAACCCATGGGAACTTTTGTTGAGAAGGATAGATAGATGTGTTGTTAATATTCTCATTTCCCCATTTTTAGATTCTGAAACGTGTACCCAATAGTGTGCTCTGGCTGTTGCGTTTTCCAGCAGTAGGAGAGCCCAATATTCAACAGTATGCACAAAACATGGGCCTTCCACAGAACCGTATCATTTTTTCACCTGTTGCTCCTAAAGAGGAACACGTCAGGAGAGGCCAGCTGGCTGATGTTTGCCTGGACACTCCACTGTGCAATGGACATACCACAGGGATGGATGTCCTCTGGGCAGGAACACCCATGGTCACTATGCCAGGTAGGTTTCTTATAAATCATTAGATTCATGTTTGTTTGATTTTTTTTTTTATAAATTTATGAATTTTATTTTTTGTTGGTTGTGGGGCTTGAACTCTGGGCCTGGGCACTGTCCTTGTGCTCCTCAGCTCAAGGCGAGTGTTCTGTCACTTGAGCCATAATGCCACTTCTGGTTTTCTGGTGGTTAATTGAAGATAAGAGTTTCACGGACTTTTCTGCCTGGACTGGCTTTGAACCATGATCTCCAAATCTCAGCCTACTGAGTAGCTAGGATTAGAGCATGAGCCACCGGTGCCCAGCATTTGATTTTTTTTTTTTTTTAAATAAAAAACATTCTCTTTGGGTTATTAGGCAGGTACTTCTAGAAGTAACTTTGAACACAAGATAATAGAAATGAGACTTGCCTCATTCTAAACACTGTCTCTATTCTCTTGTGTATTATGTGGATATTTAATATAAATAACATTTATAGCTGTGTGCTGTTCACATTCTCAGATGTAAAGTTGTTATCTTTTATGTTACAGGAGAGACTCTTGCTTCTAGAGTTGCAGCTTCACAGCTTACTTGCTTAGGTTGTCTTGAGCTTATTGCTAAAAGCAGACAAGAATATGAAGATATAGCTGTGAAACTGGGAACTGATCTAGAATAGTAAGTAAACTTTAATGAGAACAAATTAAATGTTAAAGGTAGAGATAACATAGCTATTGTAAAGTGAAACTATAAATGCAGGGTAATAGGTGAGAAAAAGAAATTTAAACTCTTGGAAATGAAGTTAATCACTAAGTTTTACTGTGTAAAGGACAAATGAGTGAATTTAAAAATTAAGAACAGTTAAAAGGCAAACGAGAGAATGTATCTTTTGTTTCGTATGTCAAAGTATTGGTACCTGAAGAACATTTAAATTTTAAATCCTCTCATAGGAAAGTAAACAAGGAAATGACAAGATAACTCACTGAAGTGGAAATACAAATGAGTAACAAGGAAAGTTTCAGCTTCTCTAGTAGAAATGGCAGTTAAAATAATTACTGAGTTTTTTTGGGGGTCCAGTCATGGGGCCTGAACTCTGGGCCTGGGCGCTGTCCCTCAGCTCTTCAGCTCAAGGCTAGCGCTCTACCACTTGAGCCACAGCGCCACTTCCGGCTTTTTTTCTTTTTTGCTTATGTGGTGCTGGGGAATCGAACCCAGGGCCTCATGCATGCAGGCAAGCGCTCTACCACTGAGCCACCTTCCCAGCCCCGATTATTGAGTTATATCCATAAATTGACTGTAAAATAAAAAGCTTTTTATTGTATCGATGAGGGAGCCTGGAGACACTGGCCCTTTCATACGTTGGTGAGTAAATTGGTATAACACTTCTTCAAAGTTTAAGAACTTTAAAATTGTTAGTCCTTTTACCTAATACTGCCATTTAACCATGGTAGCATAAAAACAAAACCCTTAATTGTTTGGGTACTAGATGAGTGATGCTTCCATACAATGAAATAGACCTCATTTGAAAGATAAGATTATTCTCTCCTCTTTTATCTCCTCCCTCTCTTACTTTATTTGGGTCCAGTCGTGGGGCCTGAACTCTGGGCCTGGGCGCTGTCCCTCAGCTCTTCAGCTCAAGGCTAGCGCTCTACCACTTGACCCACAGCGCCACTTCCGGATTTTTTTCTTTTTGCTTATGTGGTGCTGAGGAATCGAACCCAGGGCCTCATGCATGCAAGGCAGGCACTCTACCACTGAGCCACCTTCCCAGCCCTCTCTTACTTTAAGTATCTTTTTATTTATTTATTTTTTCTCAGACCTGGGGCTGTTTAAGCCTGGGCACTGTCCCTGAACTTCTTTTGCTCAAGACTAGCACTCTATCGCTTGAGCCAAGCGCCACTTCTGGCCTTTTCTGTTTATGTGGTACTGAGGAATTGAACCCAGGGCTTCATGCATGCTAGGCAAGCACTCTACCACTAAACCATATTCCTAGCCCTATTTTATTTTTTTTTAGACAGCCTAAGCTAGTGTGAAACTTATGGTACTTTTGCTTCTGTGTCCCCAATGCTGGCATTACACAAATGTGCTCCCACACCCAGCTTTAAAAAAAAATAAAAAGATTTTTCCATTAGCTACTGTGGGATTTTATTTTCCTTTTTTTTTTTTTTGGAAAAGTAGCATGTTATGAGAAACACACTTAAGACTGAGTTGGAATCCAGTTTTGACATCTGTAAGTTTTATAAGCTTAGGATAAGTTTATTTCTGTGTTCCTTGTTTCTCCACTTATAAAATGGAGCTTAATGGTAGTAAAACCTGGGATTTGAGATTTAGAAAAGGTACTCAATGTGAAGTTTTTGATGTACAGTAAGTACTTAGCAAAATATTATTTCCTGTTTTCAGAATAGTCAAGTTGAATGCTGGTGGCTTATATTTAGCTACTCAGGAAGCTGAGTTTCATGGGGTCAAGGGTCAAAGTCCGTTTAGGCATTAAACGTGTGCTAGATTCCATCTCTAGTTAACCACCAAAAAGCAAGGCTGGAGGTATACTCATTTGTTAGAGCACCAGCAGAGCATACAAGCTGAGTTCTAAACTCAGTACTGCCAAAAAATATTCTCCTTTGAACATCATGTACATAGAAGAAAATTGAAAGTAATTTTGTGCCAGTCTTGAAGCTTGAACTCAGGGTCTGGGCAGTGTCTCTTAGGATTTATTTATTTTTGACGCTAGCACTCTACCACTTGAGTCACACTCTACTCCTGGCTTTTTGGTGGTTAATTGGAGCTAGAGTCTCACAGACTTTCCTGGCTCTGCTGGCTTTTAACCTTGATCCTCAGAACTCAGCCTCCTGAGTTTCTAGGATTGCAGACGTGAGCCCAGCGCCTGGTCGATATTTAGATCTTTTACCAGACCTTTGAAACTGTGATTCATGCATTACTTTCTTGCCCACATTTTGCTGTGGAAAAGGTTCAGTTTTATAGTAAGTACTTGTATATCTGCATATTAGATTCTACCATTTTATAAAATTGACATTTTATACTTGCCTTATTACTTTTACTAGTCTTTGTCCCATCATTTAGTTCCTTTTCCTTTTGAAGCAGAATTTACAGTGAAAGACCATTCATTGAGAAATACCTAATAACTCAAATTTCTGTCAACATATAGAATATTACCATCCCTCCAGAAAGTTCCTTTGTGTTGTTATTCATTTGGTCTCTTACCAACTCCCAGCAATAACTTCTAGGCATTTTTCAAGTACAAATCAGTTTTGCCTTCTTAGAACTTTATACAGATTGAACCATGCAGTATATACTCATTCCACCGGTTTATTCCTTTATTGCTGGATAATATTTCATTGTATGGATGCATCACTTCTTAGCCATTCTCCTGCTGATGTGGAACGTAAAAAAATTATATAGCACATAGTGTTTTCTTTGGAAGGTACCATTAATATGAATGTGGTTGGGTTGAGGCCCATAGAAGTGCACAGCCATTTTATTAGTTCTGTTACAGCAAACATTCTTGCTTTCACAAATAATACAGTTGTGGGGCTGGGAAGGTAGCTCAGCGGTAGAGTGCATGCCTTGCAAGCATGAGGCCCTGGGTTCGATTCCTCAGCACCACATGAACAGAAAAAGCCGGAAGTGGCGCTGTGGCTCCAGTGGTAGAGCGCTAGCCTTGAGCTGAAGAGCTGAGGGACAGTGCCCAGACCCAGAGTTCAGGCCCCATGACTGGCAAAAAAACAAAACAAAAAAACAAATAATACAGTTGTGTTCTAGCTTCTGAACTAATAATTTTGTATTAAGAAGGGGAGAGAAGAAATAACCCTTATTTTCTCATTTTTCAGAAAACATTGTTTTCCTCTAAGTCCTGTTTCTAAATAAATAGAACCATTTTCTTAGTGATATTAGAAATACTTTTGTGTATTGATTAAACAACTCAGTTTAGGTACATATGGAATATTATGGCAGTAAGCACATTGGCTTTTCCCTTTTGAGTATTTTGTTTTGTTAAAATCTTCATAAACTGATACCTCGTTTTTGTTTTTTTTTTGATACTTCATTTGTACTTTGAACCTGATCTATTGTAAATGGTGCTTCTGTGAACATTTGTGAATGGTCAAATATGTCTGCATCTCTGTTATTTATTTATTTATTTGGTTCTGATTCTTGGTCTTGAACTCAGGACCTGGTCATGTCCCTGAGTTTTGTTGCTCAAGACTAATGCCACTGGAGCCACAGGTCCACTTCTGGCCCTTTGGTAGTTAACTGGAAATAAGACTCTCATAGACTTTCCTGCTCAGGGTGGCTTTGAACCTTGTTTGTCAGATCTCAGCCTCTTTACTAGCTAGGATTATAGCTATAAACCCACCAGGTACATGGCTTGTTTATTTCTTTTGAGTTGATTGAAAATTATTATTGATAAGTTAGAAGGTTGTTAACATTAAAGGTTGTTAATACATACTTTATGCAGTTTACATTCTTTTTTTTTTTTTTTGGCCAGTTATGGGACTTAAACTCAGGACCTAATGTTTTTCCTTAGCCTTTTTGTTTAGTGCTCTACCACTTTAGCCACAGTTCCAGCTCTTTTTGTTGTTGTTTTTGTTGTGGTACTAGGATTTAAACTCAAGACCTCCTGCTTACTAGACAGGTGTTGTACCACTGACCTCGTGGTCTTTCTTGCCCTGGTTGAGTTTGAATTCCGATCCTCAGATCTCAGCTTTCCTTAGTAGCTAGGATTACAGGCATGAGCCACTGGTGCTTGGCAGTAAGGAATTTCCATTCTAATGGGTAGCACATAGGAATAGTCAAGTACTATTGTTAAATTTTTTTTAACTGTATTTTTTTTTTGTCTTTCCTTTTTTGGTACTGGGGATCAAACCCAGGACGTTGCAGTTTGGTAGCAAGTGCTTTGCCACTGAGCGACATGCCAGCCCAATTGCCAATTATTTTTATTTTGAATTTGAAATGAAATAAGGTATATTAGCTCTTGGATGTGCTTGTTTAGAAAAGAAGCTAAATTTCTGTGCAGAGAACTTGATTGTCAGCATTATAAGCGTTAGCATTATGTTAGCTGTGATCATTCTGTTTTCATCATTGAAGTAATAGGCCAACCAGAAAAGATAGGGTGAAGTTGGATTGTGTGTTTTGTTTGCCACAAAGGTGAATAAGTACTTCTACAGTGTTGTTCTAAGTTTTTTTATTTATGAGTTGGGTTTTCCTTTGTTTTATTACCTAGCCTGAAGAAAATTCGTGGCAAAGTGTGGAAACAGAGAATATCTAGTCCTCTATTTAACACCAAACAATACACAATGGAACTAGAACGGCTCTACCTACAGATGTGGGAGCATTATGCGGCTGGCAACAAACCTGACCACATGATTAAACCTGTTGAAGTCACTGAATCAGCCTAAATAAAGACTGTGCACGGGAGAATCACTCCTATACCTGAGCCTCAACCTTCTGGGGGAAAGGGAACTAGTTAACATACTTCTTACTTATCTGTACAGTATCATGTTGCAGATGGGTGATATATAATGATAATAGAATAGCACAGCCAGACTTGCTTCCTGCATGATAAGGAGAAACACAAGAGATGGGAAACTGCTGTTCCATAAGGAATCTCTAGATTTGCAGCAACCAGGTGGTGCATAGGTCTGGAAGGTCTATTCTCCCTTGGTCTTCCATGGGATGGTTAGTGTGGAGGGGAGATAGAGATTGTCCAGCCATTTTGTGATTCCATGGATTGATCAAGTCTTCTGAATTATTTTTTTCTTTATGCTTTGTGATATTGGAGCTTTTAAAAATGTTTGGTTTCAAGTATTTTTACTCATGTGAAGTGATTTGATTCTTTCTGAGATAAGGTTTTAAGCTAAAATGTTGCTCCCTGTATTAGTTTGTGAGCGGACAGATTAACAGGGACTTTGCTGGTGTAGTCTTTTTATAGGTTTTATAAACCACTTGAGCCTATATCAGTCATTTTAGTGTCTGACCTAAATGTTTGGAGCTATCAGTGCTTTGTTGATTTAGATGATGACTCAGATTTTTTCCCAATCTATCTCCCCAGTTCCTCCTTTTCCCCCATGACCCTTCAAAAATTCTCCTGTAATTACTAACAAAACCAAGTCTGAATCAAGATAACCCAGAGTGTTTCCCTTTAACACACCATCTGGTGCCAAATGGAAAATCTTAGAAGTTATTAATCATGAAGGGCATATTTGTGGTACTGTCATTTATAATACAGAGGGTTTGTTTTTTTTTTTTGCCTAATTTTGACCTGTTTCACCAGTGTTTTACTCTTAACTGGACTGCCCCTTCTATGCTGCTTCCAAAAGTGATAGTGTATGTAAGATTTTTTTACCTTTCAAAATTTGTTTTTTTTTTTTAAAGTGAGTCCTGTTCTTCCTATTTCTTTCAACAGAAATGAAACCCCAGGTAAGTATAAGTATTCAAATATTTGATTAGTAAGTTGCAGTTATCTCCAATACATTAAGTAATGTTTATTGAAAAGATTGTTATAAGTAAGATCTCTGAAGGACCATCAGTGTATACAAGTGATTATTTTTCAGACTTTGTTAGTATATTATATAATAACTGTCTCTGGACTTAATCTTAAAGTCTGTATGGATACAGCCTCAGTAGTACTTGGTTTGGAGTACAAATTAGATATTAGCCCTCCTAGAACTTTACCTTCTTGGTGTTAAAAACCATAGGAATAAAGTTATTGAATTTTAAGAATAGATTGAGGGCTTGAGGCTTCAACAAGCCAACATATGAATATATGTTTTGTCTTGCTGTACTGCACTTACGCTATCCAGTCACAGATCATTTTTGTCTGCTACTAGTGTTCCAGATTATGTCTTTCCAAAGCACTGAGGCAGTGCACCTATTCTGTAGTTGCAGCTGTTGCCTGAATGTATCCTATTTGACAACTTATTGAATAATAAGAACTTGAATTTCTGAAAGATTCTTATTGCTAACCAAAATCTCAGCAAGAAGTTTCAGATGTAATTCTGAACCAGAATTACATGTTAATGAACTGTGTACCTTTTAATAATGTAGATCAAGAAATGTCAGTTAAAGGATTTAATTTATTTTTTATCTGAAATATCAGTGAAAGGTTGCCAGCATGGTTACAGATAACTGATCGAAATTCACTCAGCGTGGAATAGGATAATATACTTTCAATGCCATCAAGGCTGTGATCTTACAGCTACTTTACATAGCACATCATTCCTATTACAGGGATGAACTTTTCTCCTGGCACGAAAAGTAGCTGTTCTGGTCGAAGCTTTGCTTATTGTAATAGGCTTTTATTTCCAGGTAACATGTCTGTGGGAGACTTAATTCTGAATAGAGATATAGATATTACTGGAAACTAATTGTTTTTTTCTATTATACTCTGCTTTATCAGAAAGTAAAGCATTTAAATTGTGCTACAGAAATTCAGATGTTGTCTTGTGATCTTTAAAAAAAATAAAGGAATGATTTCCCCTTAATGTGGCTGATGTATTTTGTGTCCTCCTATATTTGGGTTACATAAAAGAATAGAATCCTCTAATGATTAGGAATTATTTTGTGGGGCTGGGAAGGTGGCTCAGGGGTAGAGCGCTTGCCTTGCATGCATGAGACCCTGGGTTCGAATCCTCA